GTGCCATCTGCATGAGGATGAATGAACAGAGCTGGAGCCATGCCCTCAGCCCGCATGCCAGTGAGCTAAAACTGCAGAAATATTAAAGGTACGCAAAAATAATGGATGGCAATTTCACAGTGGATTGGTGCGAATGACAGACTGACAGCGTCAGCTGCATTTACAAAGATCAACTGTCTGCACTGACAAAGATCAGCTGGCAAACTCAAGCCATGCACATTTTAAAAAACATTCCTTTCAGAAATCATATGATTATAGCCTGATTTGGAAAGTGTGTCATGGTGCATATAACTGCAGCTTCCTTTACACACCTGAGAAACCTTCTATTGTTTACACACAAACAATGGAATCAAGTGCATTTTTACTTTTTCTGTGCTCTTGTATTGTAATTTTAATCTTAAAATAATAGTTTAAACAATCTCCTCTCAGTGCAATATCTGTATTTTCTATTTACCAAGAGGCACAAGTGGAAAATACTTGCATGATTGTAGTTTCTTACTTCACTTAAGTATAATTTTGAGCAATTTGTACACATTTATTATTTAAACACTTGCAGTCTTACTCAGTTACATTTCCAAGAGAAAAAACATAATTTTTACTCAGTACATTCTCATTTAGACATTCCATAAAATCACTTTAAAGGTGAATTACACAGCTTTCTAAAAATTTCTGCATAATTAAATCATTAAGATGTAAATGCCCCATTCTAGAGAAACTTGACGAGTCAGAATTGTTCACAGTGGCAGTGTAGGAACCAGATGTCTGGAAGCACTCTGATGCCTCTTAAAGCTATAACAAAAAGTACATTAAATGGTTACAGATTTACTGCCTGTGACGTTGGTTTATGTTTTAAGAGAATGTATTTTTGTCCAAAATGTATCTATTTGAAATTTGTGGCAGAGAAGTCAATGCAATCCATTGTAAGGCAAAATAGTACCCTTTCACCATTATTAACATACGCACATAAGACTCAGAAGACACATGTAGGTTCAATGGTCATTTTGAAGAGCAAATACAATGGCTATATTTGCGTTGTTGACATTGTGACCCCTGGTTCCTATCACCACCACTGTAAAGGCATCAGAGTCAGTATGTTTTTCTACAATGAACCATTTCACATAAAACCACTTTGAATGACTTTGTTTACATCTCAATGATTGAATTATACAGAACTTTCCAAAAATCTGTGGAATCCATCTTTAATGTAAAAAAGTATCTTGACATTGTATGTGTTAAACTGTTTACTTTTACTTATAATTACTTGAATATGTTTAAATGTAAACACTTTTTTACTTTCACAAGTATATTTTAGCCCCATGTGCTTCCACCTTTAACTGAGTAAGATTTTGGCATGGTACCTGTACTTTCACTTACAATTAGCACAATTTCTCTATAGTTTTTCCACCCCTGCACAAAGGAAAAGCCGTTTTGATTTTAGATGCTGTCTTTATTCCTTTTCATCTTGAGTGAAAGTGCATTTTTCTAACTTGACTGTCTGTAACCTCATCCTCTGCTTTTCAGTTTGCGACTTCGTTTTATAAACATTCACTCACGCTGTTCATGTACGCCAGACATTACACCTGGAACCAATTACAACTAGGCTCTGTAATTTTATGGGGTATACGCATATATTCTTGAAAACAGATCCTTTTAGAAGCCACTAAAATCTTTTTTTACCCTATTTTGAGACAGCATAGCAATATCAATTCCACTGTTCAAAATGGTAATAAAAACACAGCAGCATATTTTTGTGAATTAATGAGTTTCACACATCTCTGACTCTGATAGGCCAAATTCTTTCTTTGATTCAGCTTTCTAGTAAAACACCTGGCATCACTGACTGGCACTCAGTGTGGTGCCCACTAAAGTTTTGAATTTTGGAGTGGGGGATTTTGTATTTTCCCATCAACTTTGTCTTTCAATAAGTGAGAAGACTTGTTTTTGTCTTCCTATTTTTTTTTGCCATGCAAAAAAAGGTTTTAATATAATGTACTCTATTATGGTAATACCCAGCACTCAGAGGACAAATTGATATGTATTGTTGTAGCTATAGACTCTCGAGTGTTCACTGTTTAAATCATCAACCAGCCTATTCTGAATATTGCCCGTTCAGTCATGCAAAATAGGCTACAGCACTTCCCATCACTCCATCTTTAGCCTCTTTGCTATGTCTTTTGTGTCTGGCTCTCTCGATGCTTCCTCCATTATGAACCTTTTAGGATTCCCCAGGCAGCCTCACCGCTGTTCCCTATTGTCTTCCTGAATGAGAATACACCAGTGTGTGCTTGCCTTTGTTCTAACCCGAACAAGACCCTGACATACCCCACACCCCCTCCCCCTCACTCTCCCCTGCTTTTTCTAGCAGTGGGCCAGCACGCTGCCGGAGGACAAAGGGGCGCAGTTAACACTGAGGAGACGTGACAACAGCTCTCTATCAAGGTCAAGGAGAAGCTCCAGGGTTCCAGCACAATGGACCATTACAGCCATTTACCCTCTTGATGCTTCATGGCAAGCCTTAAGTTTTTAATACATAGTCACTTATATGTTACTGCGGCTCAATAATAAGGCTGTGAATAATAGGGATAATAAGATCTGATATGAAACTTTAACTTGCCTATAAAAGCTGAGGTCACAGTGAAAGAGAGATATCAGTTCATAAGTATAAAGTGTGGATGAACTCCTGTTGGTCAGTGTGATATGTTAGCTGTAAGTTTCTCCATTCAAAGAAAAAATTAATTAATTACTCCTTTTTAAGGAGTAATTGTTTCCAAAATTGGCTGTAATAACAATAAAAATCCAATCATCTTGTTCTTGAATTACCCCAAGATTACCATTCCCAAAATACACATTCACAGCGCACATGGAAAAAAGTATGAACAGTCCAAAGATATATTACTCCATCTAGTGGCGACTTCTCCTTTGAGTTCAGGGACCAAATGTGTGGATGAGTAAATCCAGTTAGAACTGGTTAGGGCAATGTCCTTTTGCTGTCTGCCACCTAGTGGTTATTTATGTCATTACACTCTGGCATTCTTCTCATTACTAATGTCGCCACCTGTCAGTGAGCTACCATGCATCATGTCAGTATCTGGTGTTTTGCTTTTGCTGTAAATGACTTTGTTGCCCAGAGGAATATAACCCATTACTACAACTATGTGCAAAGCCATAATAAAGATTGTCTTCTGGCTTGCTAGCTGACCATGGGAGTACGTTTACAGCAGTGGCTTGGCCAGAATTTCATTTTAGGTGGGGTCTTGTTCACAAATTGGGCTGGGTACCAAGAGGCATTGTTTTTAAAGACACATTGCTTTAGTGGCAAACACTGACTACCTAACTAGCAAACTTAAAAATCTGTAATTTTTCGAAAAATGTGGGGTTGGTTGGGAGGCAGTATTCCAATTTGGAGGGCTCCCCAAGCCCCCCTGTAGCTTACACTCACAACAGTTCAGTTTCAGTTTAATATGGGTTATCAAAGTGGATGTAATTTTTTTTGTGTTGTGTTACTATGAGGTTGTAAGTAAAGGCAAAAGCTGCATCATCCAATCAATGCTCCATATTTTCCACTCTGTCTACCGAAGCATTTCCTGTTTCCTGTCTACGGAGTGCCTTTACCCCTCACTCCCACCTCTCACTCTAAGGCCTTTAGTGGGCCCTCTCAATGAGATATCCGTCTGTTTACAAATACACAGGGCCCAAACCCTCTGTCCAGTATGTAACTACACAAAGCTTTTGGCCTGTTCTATACTTTGTGGTAGTTTTCAAATACAATGAGTCTATAGTATTTGTATTCCTTCAGGCAAAATTTAAGTTCTTCTCGAACAGTTTTGGCTGCGTCAGAGTAGTTCAATGGAATTCCCTTCCTTTCTGCTTTCCTTTATTCTGCCTGATCTGGTAGCCATGTGGATCCACATACTAGTCAGCTCCACCGATATGTTTGGTGAGGCCATGTGCTACAGACCAGGAAAAAAATAAACAAAGTACACAGGAAAGGTGTCCTCGTTCAAGTATTCGGACGCAGCCCGTGAGGTACGGAAGATTATTCACTTCCTCTTACAATGTGGGATAAATCAGCTTAGGAGATCTGTCCATTCAACGGCAGGGTCAACGCGCTCTAGCCACCCAGTGGTCACCTTGGGTATTGCACCAACACATGTACCAGCTACATGACTGAATATATTGACATTCCTATGAAGAAAAAAAGTACATATGTGGTTGCTGACAGTAATTGTACCCTTTGGAACAATTATGTTTGGGAGAGCCATATTCGGGAGTGACTCCATAGTGACCTGAGGTCATTTTTTTTATTCATGAACATTTTTCTCTCTTAAAGAACGCGGATTTAGCATCACTCTTAAAGGCTGGAGAACCCAGTTAAACTGAGCATGCTTCCTGACATGCAGGAAGCCTGAGCACAAGGACTTTGGCCTGTATGAGCTGTGTAGTTAAGCGGTCAGCAGCACATTACATGAGACAGATGGCATGATGGCTTGCAGCCTCTAAGCCCCCATGGCTGTCATGGTTTATGGTCAGCCATTTTATTTAATAGTTAAGCGGGGTGTAGTAAGAGTTGGTGGGTAACTATTGGCTGTTTAACGGGCGCCTATTTAGTCTACTCTAAATGTCATTTTATGGGCTTCGTCAGTTTTTTAACTTAAATATTACTTTTGGGTTTTCATAATGTTACTTGTACTATTAGTTAGGCCCGCTCTTAATCGATGTGTTTACTGGTAGAGCACTAGGGGGGACATGGACAGCGCTTTAAGGCGCCAATGAGAACAAAGAATGGGCGGTTTTCTAGTTTGAAAGCTTCGTACTGACATTCACATCAACCCATCTAATTTTACTGCGCGCGCAATTCCAACCAATCATCTCCGTCGACAAAGACCGATTATGTTGATCAGTGTGATCCGTTTGAATGGCGCGTTGACCCACCAATCAGGCGCTCAAAAACAAAAACGGACCAATCACGAGGGCGCGTGGGCGGGACTTGAGAAAGGGGGTTGGGTGCGAGGTATCATGGAGGATCAGTTAGAGAACGGTAGACGTTGAAGAAAGCCGAGCTTGTGGGTCCGCGCTCTGGAGTTTCTTACAATTTATTTCCTAAGCGATCTTGTCCAGTACAGTATCTTCTGAAACAATGGAGATGAAGAAGAGGATCAGTTTAGAGCTGAGGAACAGAACTCCGGCGGAGGTAATATCTTGGACTTTTAATTATTTATTTTTCAAGAAATGTGAAATGATGTTCGCTCGCAACCTGTCCACCCTGCAGACTCGAACACTTACTAGACTCCGCTGAATGGCTCTGCAGTTAGACCACATGGGCGCCTAAAAGGATGCGAGTAGGAAAGCTTATGTACAGTGTTAACGAGCAGATCGCCTACCTTTTAATAGACCGGAGACGGGCTTTAACGGAATATCACGTTTAGCGCAAAGACTTCAGTGTGTTCGTACTGCCCAACCTCGCCGAGCTAGTGAGGCAAACTCTGTGGAGTCTTTTGTCAACTCGGTACACCACACTGTCCCCCTCGCCATTGCATTACTCTGTGGTCGGTGTAAGAAGGTCCGAAGTGCTAACGTTAGTTGCGCCACGGAATTATGATGTTCCCTCAGAGAACTTATAAAAAACAAACGAAACTGTTTCTCAGACGCCGTCTTCGAAAAAATAAGACCTCACTGTATTTGATATATGGCACCATATCCGCTCGGAATATTAAACAAGGAGACCAACGTCGTTGTAAATACACGACTTTACCCTGAAAACCCTGTTTGTAACTCTGCAAATTCAGAACATTTGTTTCGATACTAGGCCGTTTAGCGAATAATGTGCTCGAACAAGTCTGTTAAAGGCCAGCTCCGCGGATGTAGGCTTCACTATGGCTTCTCTAACCTAGCTGTACAGTGAGCAGTTTCGTCTCCCGAGGCGGACATCTTACTCTCGAACTCTTTCGACATTGTAAGATTTCAGTCGCCGTCTGTATTCCTCACCAAGCCCCTATGTGTAGACTATTCGACATTTTAGCCCATTCAGACCACCCGGAGCTGTTCGAGCGCATTCTCTCGTCAGTTATTAATCGGCAAAGCCCGCTCCAGAGCGCATTTGAGCTCCGTCTGTTGTGTGTGTGTGTGTGTGTGTGTGGCAGCGCCTCGCTGTGTGCTGGGAGGACTGAGAGGCTGCTGCCGCTGCAGGTCCACCATCTGACGGGCGGGGAGCGCTGACTGGAAGTCATTTTGTTGCATCGGTTGACGAGTGACGGCGTTTCGTGCCTTTGACTTTGTTCGCTTACTGTATACGACGACCGAGTCATTTCGGTGCATGAAAACCAGAAGTGCAGTAAATTACAACTCGGTTGCAACCGCTTGGCGGTACTTTCAGCCACACACACACACGCACACAGTTCAGTCGAGGGCTTCTACTATGGAGTCCTGAAAAGAACACGGTGCCATTTTCCTCCATGCTCACATAACGGTGGCGCGATTATGTAACCTGATTGCATTTGGCGTTGGACTTTTTATAGACTATTCGACATGGTGGAGTATTTTAAACAAATTTTTCGACGATCGACGGTGTTTATTACTTGAAGGAATGTGGCAGATGGTGAGGGGGGCTACCCCCCCTTCCCCCTTATGTAGCCTAGTAGATTATTGTAGCCTGGCCTAGACTGCCATCTCCGAGAATCGCGTTTGCCTCGAATAGATACGTAGGCCGCTTTTTATTATCCTTTTCAGACAAATACTGGGCGAGCAGTGCGAAGTTTTGCGACGTCACTTCGTTGTTAAAGTTACTCGGTTGTGAGCTTGACGCTGACGTCACCAGTTAAAGTATTTCCAGTACGCCCATGCATAAAGTCGAGCGCCTTCTTGTGAAACATTTGTAGGGAGCCAGTTCAGCCCATTCATCCGTAGGTGGTGCTGGTGGCTCAAGGCTCCTCTCTGTTCAGTGAAGAAATCATCTGAAGCGTTTAGGATGTGATTGCTGAAGACACCTCAGAGTAATGCTTTTAATCCAGTGCAATAGAAGGAAATGAATAATGACTTACATTTGAAGGTGGCCATCTAGCTTAAAGGTTCCTGTTCACAATCTGCTTCACTGCGAGTTTCATAAATAGTTTGCATTTGCAAGGGCTTGACAGAGTAATCAAAATTATTTCAATTAGGGATCAGCTAGTGCTGATACATAATAATTTATAAAATAAATGGAATTTGGAACTAAATGTACTCAGGGTAGCCTTAAAGGCGAAATGTAACATTGACTACTAGAGGGTTGCAAATGCTGTAAAATGGATAAAATGCAGACATTTTAGCATAGTAGCCCAGTGTCACCCAGCGTAACTAGTTATTCTCTTCCAGAATACGATACATACATAAATGCAGCTGTTGATTTGAAATATCGGTCAAATCTAAGCTTCTTTCTAAATTTCAGAAAATTTAAGTGATTATCTTTTGATACCAATATGATACTATATCATTGTTCATACCTACTTTGAAAATAATTACCCAAATATCTTCCATAGTCCATAAAAACTGAGCTTTTTTTGTGAGCATGGACATTAATCATTTTTGTTAAAGTTCTAAATTCTGACTTGCACGGTCTAAAAATGATAGGATTTAAAAATTTATCCTGCCACTGGATAAATGCACCCATCAATTCAGTGGCCCACCCTGTTTGATATAACACGTCAAACACTTGCAGGTTGCAGAGCTGGTGGTGGATAATTGCCGCTCCAGTGATGGAGAGATTGAGGGTCTCACAGACGAGTTCAAGGAGCTGGAGTTCCTTAGCATGGTCAACGTGGGTCTCACTTCTCTGGCCATGCTGCCATCACTGCCCAAACTGAGAAAGGTGAGTCGTCAGTGCACATTTATCTCACAAGCTGACAATTTTGCAGATGTCTGCCAGTCATTGAGCTTAGTTTGTAGAATTAAATAGATGAATTAGTGGAGCTCAGCAGAGAATTTATGCTTGTATTTTGTAAAGCTAACCAAAAGCTAATTTGTGCATCACTCACAACAATTATGACAACAAATATCTACTGAAATTTCACTACATTGCAAAGTTAAATTCATGTGTTTTTTATGATGTAGCCATATCTAGTTGTGTTTGTGACCTGTGTGATTTTTATGTTTTAACAGTTGGAGCTGAGTGACAATAACATTTCTGGCTCTTTGGAGATCCTCTCGGAGAAATGCCCCAATCTTACATATCTAAACCTGAGTGGCAACAAGATTAAAGAACTCAGCACAGTGGAAGCTCTGGTAAGGAGAGCCTAGGTCTTACCAGTTATGCGTCACTGTTTTTGCTTGCCTGTGGACACATAGTTGTCTACTTGTAGATGTATGTTAAGACTGTAATAAATGTGTTGTAACATAAAAAAACAGTTGTTTATAAAGTTTGTATTAAACAGCCTTCAGTGGTCCTCTGTAGGCTGACTGACTTGCCCTGCTATGAAAAGAGACACATTTTGTTTACCATAAAGATTAACTGCCCAGGTCAATTCGGAGTTGACAGTGTTTGGCCTTTTCACTCTAATCCTCAGCAAAACTTGAAGAATCTGAAAAGCCTGGACCTCTTTAACTGTGAGATCACCACACTAGAGGAGTACAGGGAGAGCATTTTTGAGCTGTTGCCTCAGATCACATACTTGGATGGCTTTGATGCAGAGGACAACGAGGCTCCTGACTCAGAGGCAGATGATGATGGTGAGTGGAGAACTGGAGGACTGTTATGTTGTACTGCTTAGGATTGTTGAAAAATGCACTGTTTTGAAAATATACAGGCTGAAATCCAATTACACACCATTATTTTAATAAAATTAGAGTGAATTCAGTGCTGTAACAGTGTTTGGTGTAACTGTTCAGATGATGATGAGGATGGTGAGGAAGGAGCAGGCCCTGTTGGTGAATATGATGATGATGACGATGATGAGGAAGGATCAGAGGGTAAAGAGGTTGGACTGTCCTATCTAATGAAAGATGAAATTCAGGTAAGGCAGATGTTGCATGTTTTCTGAATTCTCAGCCAGCTTTTTAAACCCATGTACCGTGCCAATTAATAATGTACTGACATCTTTCCACAACAGGATGAGGAGGATGATGACGACTATGTAGAAGAAGAGGAAGAAGAGGAAGGTGAGGGTAAGTATGAAGAACCTTATGAGATTTCAGAAGACTTTTTGTGTAGTTGATATCTGAAGGCTCCAGTGTCTTCATAGTTTATCTGCTCTGAGAGGTGTTATTGTTTTGTCTTTAATGGCCCTCTTATGGTACACTTTGCAGAAGAGGAGGCAGAAGTTCGGGGAGAGAAACGAAAGAGGGATGCAGAAGATGAAGGCGAAGACGATGATGAAGATGATGACTAACCGTGTGTGTGTTTGACGCCTTGGAAACCTGATCCAAGTTGAACAACCTTGAAAAAAGCGTGATCTTGCAGATTGTTTTTCTCTTTGTATACCATAGATATATCACTGTAGAGGCTAAGTGTTTTCTTTTGATAAATACATTATATTATACTATATAAAAGGGGTTTATTGACAATTCATTTATAGCCATTCCAAGTTTATGTCCCAACACGAGAATCTTGTCAGTGTGGGTGAGTTATGGGAGGGGGAGGGGGAGGTCTGTGGGGTGCGGTTTGGGCCGTTGTTTCCAAACCTACTGACCAACAGTCCATTTCTAAATATGGCACTGGGACTTGAATACTGGGAGGCGAATTGGCACAGCAACTTTTATCCGTACACAATAAACTCAGCCACTTAGCTTGTGCTTAACCTGCCAGTGACTTTCCCAAGACCTCTTTGAGGAGGCGAAGAGTCGGCCTGCTCCTCATCTACCTCTCCAGGCTGCCTCAGTCTCAGCCCACCACGGAGCATCGAGCCAGTCATCTCCAGCTAGCAGCCCCCTGTGTTCCCGGGTCGACCAGTCCTTGCCGAGGATTTAGTCCAAGGCCCTCTCCGCAAGGGATGTCTCCTCTTGATTCAGTAAAGGTATCGTAGACCAGGCTTGCTCAAATTGACAGCCCAGACGGTATGTGATCTCATGAATTTTAAAATGTGATGTATGTAAATGCAATGTAAAGTAATTGAAAATGAGGAAGGAGATCAGTGTAGGGGTAACAAATTGTTATCCAATTTTAATCTTAGTCTTTTTTAAGACAGAAAGACCACAGGGATAATAAAATCAACTGGTAAACAGTTTAATCAGCATTTTACCTTTCCTCAAATATCCTGGAGAATTCAGTAAAGTTTGACTCAAAAATCATGCTATGTCAAGAGCAAAGCTATAGTCAGAATTTGTTCCTATAAGAGAGCTGGAAATTTCTCGTAACATTCAGGTTTAATGGCTTTGTTGGATTAAATCGTACCCTTAAGTACCTTTATACCTATGTCTTGCTGTGGAAACAGATTAGTTTCTACCTTTTGTGGGGGTATTTTACAGAGTAATACCTTTAATCTAATGTTCGTATGGCAATATGTACAGTATATAGTATCTGTTCCAACAGGTCGGTGTTAGTGTGTTTTTTAACTTTTGTTTTTTGTTTTTTTTTAATCAAAACTATTTGGTTAATTGTTTTATTACAAAGCACAGGTCAGAGGACTAAAGTCCCTAGACGCAGGTCGCCTGTTTTATTTTTCAGTACTTGGCTGTTGTGCGAGTGTTGTGTTTGGGGTTTTATGTGATGTAAACCTCTATGGAGGGATTAGTTGTTTTGTTGTTGGGTTTTGATGTTTGATTTCTTTCATTTTTTTCTTGTTCCTGTCTTTTTTTTTTTCCTTTCTTTTTTGGAAAAAATAAACATGAAAGATGACATGCTTTGAGATAAATGATTCGATGAGGGTGTAAATTCTTCAGTTCAGTAATGAACTGCGCAGATGTTGATAAAAGAGCGGTCCTTTGAGGATTAAAAGAATGGCTCTTCACAGGAGGTGATGTACAAAAGAGGGGGTGCTCATCTGTCTACTGGGGGTAAGATTTAATTTGATGATAAGAATGAATGGCTGTTAGCAGTAACTGCCATTACTGTGTAATAACTGTTATCAACAAGCACAATTGTCTGGCCTGCAAATTGACGAGTCAGTTGCTTTAAATACAGATTTAGTTGACTAACAGGCCTAAACATTTAAATCTAGGCACAGAGAAGCTGGCTTTACGTATAACTAATAATCTGACTTTGTAATAACGGGTGAAAAGTAGGACAGATTTTAATCACAGGTTTGCCATACAAAGGAACTGAAAGCAGTGAGTGATGGAATCAGGTGGTTTTAGTGTTAATAATACCTTTATTTATAGAAAACTTTTATAAAGCAGCTCAAAATACTTTGCAACGGAATAAGTATTTTAAACCATGTTGGAGAAGTGTGTGTTTTTGATTCATAATTTTTATACATGCACCACCCTTGATTTTAGTCCATGTATTGACTAGCAGCTGTTTACTAATCACATTTCCTTTACTTAAAAGTCAAAAGCAGAAATGACTCAAAAGCTGTCCCCTAGAGCGTATATTCCTTGTGTGTGTAACTTAACCCTTGATGTCTTTATTGACCCTGTGGTGTGTGGGTTACAGCACCTCTGAAAACATGCTGCTGTGTTTAATACTATACAGAGCTGCCATCTGCAAAGGCTTTTACACAGCGTGTTAATTATTCATCAGCTACACAAGCTTTCAGCAGCAGTGGTATAGTGAAAAGGGGTGTGGCCTGTTTCAAGCATGTAGAAGCAAAAGACAGGGTTACCAGAAGAGACATTAATAATTCATGAGTGAAGCACTGTGCTCTGGGCCAATAGGGAGAGCCATGGAGCATGCAAAGGGTGGAGTCATGATACAGCTCATCAGTAATTTATTGAATTAATGAGTGAGAGTCTTGTGCTGAAGCAAACAGGAGAAGGATAGGATCACTGAAACTGCACAAATAATTCAGTCTTCTCAAACAAAATGTCTGATTACACCTTACAACTTCTGAAAACTCATACTTCATAGGAAAATAATGAATGAGTACAGTCCTGTATGAAATCAAATTAAAGCTTAAATCTAAAGTAATTGATCTTTGATTTGCCATAGGATTCTATGAGACAAAGCAGAAATAATAAAACTGTACTGAGCACTTGAATGGTCTGGCCAATCAGATCATAAAGCTACTACACAATGTGCCGTAATTGTAATTTGTGCCACAATGTTAATTTATGAAAGGGACCGTATTGTGGAAAACCACATTTCCCCTCACTTTTTTAAAAAATTGGTGTAGTATGCAAACACCTTCCAATTTCCCAAATGTATGCAAACATGTTCCCATTTCCCAAATGTAGTCCACATAAGGAAACTGTGCTGTAAAAACAGACCTTTTTAATTAGTTGCTTTTGTGATCTCACACAAAGGAAACACTTACTTTTATCTAACTATTCTGCTAAACCGTAGTTTAGCCCCACCCATTCACGTTTAAGCTATAAGGAGTGTTTCAGCCAAACTGATTTCTGAATGAAGCACAATACAGGACAGACAATAAGAACAGGACAGTATCAAAAACAGTCTGTTTAATTCTAAGGGCTATGGAGAGGTTGGAAAATGGTCACGTAAAAATGATTTTCGACTGTTTGTGGTACATAAAACCACACAAACATTATACATGGGCCTTGGGGACAAATAAAATACAAGAAAAACAGAGGACATGGGCCCTTAAATGTTTAATATTCTCACCTTGCCCCCGGTGGGGCTCACACTACTCCCCACCACACTGACATTTGCTATCATGGTCTGCATATCAGTGGCCTATTCTAATAGGTGTGAACTCCAGCAGTTGTGATGTCTGTTGGTATTGTTACATTTTGGGGACAACTTTTAGTATGTGGTCACTTTTGATTGGTTACTGGCAGGACACTCTGTTTAAGCAGTAACAATAGTCAAGATAAGACTGAAGAAATTTTGTCCCTTACCCACAGAGAGAGAGAGAGAATAGTCCTTGCTTTAAATTGATTAAAAACGTTTTAGACTACAACTTTATCAGAAAACTACTGTAAAACAATGTCTCAGACGTCAGGCAGTGTATTCATAAGCATTTCATGCAACTTTCTGTGAGGGAGCTTTTAGAGGCGTTAAAGAGGTGCTAGTTTCACAGACCTGACGTTAGCTAGTTACCATGCCTTCCAACGGTCAGTTGTGTGCTAGTATATTACACTAGCACAACACGTGAACAGAAAACTACATCTTAGTCAACTTAATATGTTGTGCTAATGCAAGTAAAGGACAGTACCATTTACCAGAATCAACATTTACTGGAGTTTTCAGTCTGTCTGTTTTGACCTGTAAACAGGGCCTGTCTGTAAGTGACTGCTGGAGACTCGAAATCGAGCACGCCGGTATCCAGGGCTGCTGTCCGTAGAAACAGACGAAAATGGACTCTTGTCACAAAGAATCGCACCTACTTCTAGTTTAAGCGGTAGCAGGGTAATACTCGCTTCTGCTCTGTATAACTGCTGCAGAAGCGATGTCAAAATGTTGTTGTAATAGACCACTGTAGTCGTGCGTCATTCTGTAGTCCTCGTTATGCCCATATTAGGAACTCCGGGTCTATGCCCCATTTCTCTATGGCCAGAATGAATAGGGTTTTCGCCTCTATCGCACCCTGTGTTAAATAAACATGTTAAGAACGATACGTTTTGTCCTGTGTACGTTTTTTCTCCCGAATACCACTGGATCCTCTGAATTATGAGGTCGTTAAAGAGCTATATTACTAATATTGCTACATGCGAGCTGAAGCTACTGCGCATCAATTTGATGTCACTAAGCTACACGAAACTAAGGCAGGCTGTGGCGGTGCTCTGACGAGCTGTGCTACCTTATCAAAATGTTGTACTGTAGCGCATATTTACAGGTATATCCGTAAATAAAACCTCTAGGTAGGATATTTTGATAGACTAAAACTCCTTATCAAAAATACTATCCATGTTAACACTACGAGGCTGAATTTAGCTTCTTTTTTCGCAGCTTCTTATTTGAATGTTCCTGTTCCACCTTAACTGGTGCAGCAGCTGTGCGCAATCACAAACATTAGCAAACGAGACAAAATACTGACCTGTCGGTTCTGTGGAACAGCAAAAATAAGTTAATGTTACTCAGCTGTTAAGCGTAAATAGTGAAACCTCCTCATATCATGCCTTTTAACCCTCCAAGAAGTCAGCTTCTTTTTTGCCGGCTGCTTGTTCGAATTTTCCCGTTCTACCTTAAATGGCTCAGCAGTTCAGAACGTGACTGCGGCACCATTTAAAATAATAATTAGATATTCTGACAGCCGAAATCAGTTTATCAGGGGGTCAGTAGTGATATTAAGCCTTAAGTCTGTACTGAATTAGCCTGAGTGCAGGTACGTTTGTAGATCTTTTCAAATCAAGCTAAAAGGAAAGCTCTATCATGTTTCAGTGAGCATCAGATGAAGAACTGAGAACTGCAGGGAAACCTGCTGATCTTGTTCTGACTTATTTTCATCTGTCCTCAGTCTGTAAATGGAAATGTACGCTTCCAAAACC